TCAATCCTTCCCCTCGAATTGCACGACAATATGCATTTCTTATAATACAAAGTCTAAATGCTTAATGTAAATATCTTTTCTAAAGTAAAGTCATCGCACTTTTTGGTTTAAGGGTAAATTTCCAAAAATATAACCCAAATTTAGGAGCACCTTGGAAGTTTACACTATCATTTGCGTTCAATTAATACAATATTAAAGTCTTAAAGCTGCTTCATGTCAAACTTATTAAAAGAGAATGTAGTTAAGAGATACCGTTGACATTTAATGTCCAACGTTGATTTGAATACAGAAGCGACGGTTTGGCAGTCCTGACTGCATTGACTGCCCTCCTGCCAACCCTGGATAGACGCCTGGTTTTATTGCAAATGGAGGACTTCAAGATCGACGTCTCTTCTGAATTGAAGAAAAACAAAAGAATGATAGAGAAGCACTGAGCGGACTTTGATATTCACTTTGCCAGCATAAACTGACTGTAGAACCGGCGACAGTATTCGCATTTTCATTGGCTAAATTAACAGACCAATCAAAGAACAACCTCTCTCATTTGTCGGCTTTGTCGCAATTTTTCAACATAAAAATTGTTTTCTTGATTTCCACCCCTACATGTTCAGCTCTAAGTGCAATAGTCTTATTGGTTTACAAAAAAGGGAAGAGGATGCGTCTTATCTGCCTCACTGAATGCCCAAGCAGATAGTTGACATGAAATAAGGAAGGAAAACTTTCACACACCATTTAAGAGAATTTTTATTCCCAGTTTATTGTTTCGATCATTTGCTATTACGTAGGCAAATGGTTGTGGTTTCTCTTTGCTCTGACTTAGCCGAAGAGCAGGTGATAGAGTGGCTCCGTACAACACTTCGTCCTCATTCATAAAATTGCCGATGTCAAGATCACAGCCAGCAGATCGCCAGTTGGAGGTACTGTAGAGGAAGGGCCTTGAAACCTGTACTGCCTTCATCCTAATGTCGCCTTGCGTTTGAACACTCTCTGACTGATCACTCTGTAGCATTCCTTTCGTCCGCTGAATTGACCTGAGGTAGTGTAAATTGAGTTCATACTCTAGGAAAACAACGGATTAATGGCTAATATTGTGTCTTGAAAAAAACGTCTCCCATTTCCTGCACCATCGTTCTAAAGTATCCAATCTCCAGACATGTATGATGGTACTTTTTTGCTTAATTCGCGTTAGAACTGCATGCCATCTCATTTGCCTGCTTTGTTTCCAGTTTAGCCTGGTCATTACTTCTAACATTTAGAGATGTTTTTTGAGGGCAAAGGATGCAATGAACTTTGAAATAAAACATTTTTGCCGGGATCAGTCATGCGCCTTAGTATTTTTCTCCTCATTGATTAATTTATTGCCATTTTATTTCTCCAAGATCTTTAGAAACTATTTTTGAAACTTTATTTGCACAGGAGTGGCGACACTTAAAAGGAATCGGTTAGAGTCTCCGCTTTCATGTGGTGCACGGCTCATGGATACTAACCTAGATCCCGTCAAAGATAGTCCACACAGCACAATCTCCATCACGTACGTCAGGCCAAAGATGCTTAAACCAGAGCCGCCCAATCACATTCAACACCTCTCCCTGCGATAAGGCAGTAGTTACATTCCTAAAGCACTAAGATTGAAACTAATAAAGTCGTTTATTTGTGTTTGCTCAGATAAATAACTCGGAGCGGTCCGTAATTAACATCCCAAGGTATTATTATGGACAAAGTTGTTGTGAATATTTACCGTTTTTATTGCCAGGGCGAAGTGATTTGAAGCCCGTTAGAATGACTTCCCTTGGGGAAGTTAATGAGAGATTCTCGGGTGACAGTCGTATCATTATTTTCAGAGGTCCTGCAGTTGTGGAAAGAGTTGAAGCGTTTAGCACGATATGAAAGTGCTGCGGATATGTGCTCCACAGTACATGGGACGGGTTCATCATCGACGCTCCTTTTCCCATCCCTGTTACTCCTATATGAATTGTAAAGTTGACATGAAGTTCGTGTTGTGGGCGACGTTTCAGATGACATTGGAAGATGTTTGACATATTTTGAAAGTCAGGTGAAAGGCTGACCTTGAATGTGTTTCCTAAATACGCGGAAACAAATATTTGTATGAACCACAATTATACTAATTCGAGTTAAAGGCACAGAGGGAGCCTTAAATGGCCATACAGTGTTTGATTTTAAATTGCAAAGCAACTATGCTTGCAATTTTGCCCATGGCATCCTTTGAACGATGCTAGAATATTAAAACCTAGTGATTGAGGGTAGCCCACACAACAAATATATGCAAGTTTAACATAAATATTTAATAAGGCAGGTTACTTTTCCTTTGTGCCTTAACCTCTGTACCATTAAATTACGAAGCCTTTTTATGTAAAACAATACCTTTAGTATGCATTTCCTGTGGTTCAGGAGATGATAAATCGCATGAGGTAAACGTCACGCACATTTGCTTTCCTCTGAGTTGTTTATGCTATCACTGTGTTCTTCATTATGTAGAAAAAATATTAAATAGCATAATATGCCTACATCCCCTGCTGTGTGCCTGTGTGAGCTGTTAAAGAAAATTTAAAAAGTGCATACATGGCACGAATTATTCCCCATATGTGATCATTTGCACTTTGGTAATGTTTATCAATTGCATTGGCAATCCTGTATCTCAATACTCAGCACGTCCAAGTCACAAGGTTGTTTAGATAACATGTTACTTATTTTTTGATAGTAACACTTTTTGTTTTTCGTACTAAGACATTAATGCTTAAGATTTTGAAGTACTCTTTTTACACAGTGAGGTAAAAAAATGGTAAGACTCTCTAAGTATGCTGCCTAAAAGCAACAGGTAGCGAAAATAGAAAACTGTGGCTGCTTGAATTATAAAAAGTTCGGTCTGGCTAATCCTATCCGCCCAATCACCTTCCTGAACTGCACCTAAATTTCCCATTCAAAGATAGCATTTCGGTATTGCCCTGAAAAAGAGCAAGAAGGTATATCCAGGGTTCCTCCTGTTAAAAATGTGTTTAGCATGAACTTGGTTTACACTTTGCTCCATTAAATGACACCTTAGCAGTGATCAAACCAGGCGAGATTATGAAATGATAGCTGTCTTTGACTTGATTAAATTAAAAGCTTTTCTTAGTCTTTTGTAATAATACAGTCTTTTTATTATGCTCACCACGGGTTTTCAACCGCTCCCCCTGCGTTTTAAGATGAATCGGCTAGGTATTTATTGCTTGAATAAAATATGGATGCCTGGTTAGCAGGCAACTTATAGGGTAATTAGGAGTCTGAGGTGTTAAGTAGGCGTGAAATGCTTAAGCTATTGCAATAAGTTCTGCGTCAAATCTAAATGAAACCTCTGCGCCTGATCCTTTAATTATACAATCAATTGTCTAAGAGAGCGAATGAAGCTATTGCACTTGGTCCACTTTCCATAAACAAGGTAATCGACCACCTCCTTCCCTATTTGGTCCAGAGGAACATAATAAGAGGAGACCTTCTAAAACCCCCTTTTTATAATTAGGTTAATGTATTTCAGATTGTCACAAAATGGATGCCACAAGGGGCATTTACTATTTTCTTCTCTCCAAAATCCTAAGTTTTAGCACTTACACAATAAGCACCTCAAATTTTATCCGGTTTTTACGTTGCATCTGTGGTTTAAAGACTGCCTTTCTGTTCCCAGTTGATGGAGCTCGACTAGAAGCATATTTGACGTACCTTTGACGCACGTCCCATTCTCAGGAACCTCTTGATGATCATCCGGATAGCATGGAGGGCTGTAGTAGCCCAGACAACCAGGTGTGTTGTAGCATTTTATTCGGCGATTGCAATTTTCTCTCCTCTCTCTCCAAATCACTGTAAAAGGAGGAAAGTTTAGTCAAAACCAGGAAGAAGTGCATTCATTCATTTCACTGCGAAGAGCGCAGCCAAAAAACGCTTCAAGTAATTATATTTGGCTCCGCTTAACAATTTATTTTACGCACATTTGAACTTATGGCACAAGGGATTCGTTTGTTGTAAGTGTTCTGCTCAATTCCGCCACAAGTTATTGTTTCATTGTTTCATTTTGGTGGCTGATATTCCAACAAATGGGCCTTTGGGGCGCACTTACTACTCCATCCTGTAATGACGCCAGTTAGTTTAGACTTATTTTAAAGCTTTTTAGTCTTTGTAATAAGTGCTTTCTGCCTTGTGGGTGCAAAATTTCCCCGACCGAAGTTGGCACTGTAAATGCTCATATCGTACAATGTGTTGAGTGGTTTTGCCAAATGGGTCTTGACGGGGCGTCTTCTGTTGAAGGTTTGCGTTCCTCTATTCACCGAATGTTAATGAATGACGGAACCTCTTGGTGCCTTCAAGGCGGACTTTGCACAAGGAGGAATAAATTTGTGTTGCAAATATGGATGTTCTGCCATATGAGCACATGTCAGGACTGCTAGTGACGATTTTACAGTTTGATAGCCAAATTGTAGAACATTCTGTACAGTTCGTTGAGTGGATGTCCTTTCTCTAGATGAAATCGACGCAACATTGGTCGATGGAATAGTCCTGTCAAATGGTGGGACACTGCGAGATGGGTGAAACCGGCATCGTTGCTACACTACTTTTCTTCTTTTGTGCTTCAAGCGGAGCGATTATGATGCTATGCCTTGTCTTCTCCTCTCAAATGTAGCTACGTACAAAGTCACGCAAATTAACTTTCATGAGCTCATGGCATTGTCCTCGCATCCACCTCCAGTCAAAATAAAGGTGTGTCTTTAATTTGGTCTCACTTTAATGGCCATCTTTTATAGTTGGTAATTAAAAATTACGCATATGAGAGCGGACGAATGACGTTCTGACAATAAATCAGAAGGACTCAATTCCGAATTCTCAGAAATTCACAATCTTATACGTTGAAACAAATTTGAGGTCAAATAAGCGTTGTAAAAGGCAGCGCTAGCACAAAGGTGCCATGCAATCAGGAAACTTCAGCGATGGTAAAAAAGGACTTTTTGAAGAGTCAATTGAGAAGGTTTCAGAGTTAATCAGGACTCTTGAAACCCATACGTAACAACTCGCAGACGCTGCACAACCGGAAATCTCGACAAATGTGGTATTTCGGTTCCCCAATCGAAATGTCTCTAAAGCCGCACCACAGAGGCAAGCCAAGATTCCATGTGATTTGACAGATTTTGCGTCGAAGCTCTAGCATAATTAGTCCTGTCACAACTATCGACGTGGGCGTGTAGCTCCACATTTTCTTTCCATCCTCCTCTCGCCCTCCCTCCCTCCCTCCCTCCCTTAAATGCACTCCAGTCCTCAAAATTCCTGCCTCATCAACCGTAAATTTGCATTGTGAAGGTAAAAGTGGTTATTGCTAAAGATACAAAGAGAAACCTATCCACACTTCGCAGCAGTCGGAATTTCGGGGTATTTGTCCCAATTTAGTGAAAGGAGCAGTTTTTCATCACTGTACTACAGCAGTTATCTGTTTTCTATGGCACTCTTTGGTTGACTAGAATGCACAAATTCTTGCACCATAATACGCATGGTTAATTATTATTAGTTCTCTTCGTCTTTTCAACATCGCATAAGAGCATCGTTAATTTTCATTTTGAGCTTGAGGCAGTGCTACCAACTGCCAAGAACTCTGCCTCCATGAGGAGAGGCCATCTGAAGCTGCAATCGAATTTGCACTTTCTGAAAGTTAATAGCGACTCTGGAAGGTTGCTTTTTAAGGTCTTTTGAAGTTGCCAACGGGTTTCATTTTTCCAAGTTGAAGACTTTTTGCTGGCCAAGTTCATCCAAAAACACTCAAACCATTTGTCTCACATGCCCAATGGGCTGGCAACTCAGGCGCTTGCCACGACCCACACCGTCCTTCCTTCCTTATTCTACAAAACTGTCTAGTTTGCATTTCATAACCTTATAAGCATTACTAATCAAAGTGTACACTTTTGAGAGTGACAGGAGGTGAAAATGATGCTAGCGGCAGTGATTAACTGAACTTACAATTGGTACTAGAATTGGCTTCCAAATGTGCCTGTTGGAAGCATTTCAGGCAGGCCATCTGAAATTTGGAGCAGTCATGAGACTTTTTGACGTAAATACTCTCCTCCACGTACTGACCGAACAAGTTGTTAAGCAGGGGACTATCCTTGATGCAGTAGAAACTGTCACTTGCATTGTCGTTGTCTGCCAAGGGCGCTGCCAACTGAAAGCAAACAAAAAACATTTGCAACACAAATGTTCCCAAAAGTGTGTATTTAATGGGGAATTATGTGAAAGGATGATGTGGTGATTCGATGCTTTGATAAGGACTTAATGACGCCCTCCCCTAATGAGCACGGTTCTGCCCTTATCAGAAAAATTGCTGCCACTTTTACGTACACATTCAAATAATGCCTCCACCTTTGAATTTGCTCTCCGACTCCTACCTATCGTAATGAGTGCGTTCTAGTGGCTCTCCTTCCTTGTGCAGAGAGCCTGTCAATTTCACTTGCAGTTGAGCATCCCAGTGCGCCTTAAACGCAGTTGCCTCTTCTTTTTATCTCTCCTTTTTATCTCTGTGTCATGACCTTTTAGTTCCGCGGATGATTTACTAATTTCCAGGCCAAAACTTTAGCTCTGTGTATGGGTCCTAGAGATTGTGTTCCACTGACTTCTTGAATCATAAGTAATAAGTGGGCTAGAAGTCTGCTTCCTTTTTTTTGCGTAGGGTGCACAAGAATAAGAAGTTGGTGCGTTCTCAGTTGAAAATGCCATTGGATTTTTAAAAGTCACCTAGTTGGAAAAGTTAATAAAAGACCACCAACAAACAAAATAGCTTTTAATTTTTGACAAATTTTTAGAGTTGCGCTGTAGATGGGTTTACTTAAGCCACCTCGAAGATCTAATCTGGTATGACACCTCATCTAGTTCATTCAAAACATGCTTTTATTCTCGTTTTTCCTGCTTTTAACACCCTACACCGTGAGGACTGGTTAGATGGAATTCCTTTAGTGGGCCATTTTAGCATGTGTTAGACTGAACTTTCGTCAGTCACTTCCCTGAAAAACTTAACGCGCAACCTCCTTCCTCCCCATAAAAGCTACTTTTCTCATTGCATCCACATGCTTGAGAGTACTGTGGAATTGGGAATGTTAAACTGTTCCAATGTTTCCGACACCGCACGCACGACCCTCAACTGTGGACCATTTTTGAAACCGGCTTCTTATTGTTTTTGTGTCAATCTGATTTAAGCTTCCAATCTTTCATTGCCGTGGTACCTCATTCAACCCTTCTGTAAGGAAATGTCAAGTGCGCGACGCTTCAACAAAGTACAGTTTTTTAACTCATACAGTTGCTAATTCATTTCGCGCTTTTAGAAAATTAATAAACAACAATTCAGACTCCGACACAGTTGGAAACACTGTAATGTTGACACTCATATGAGAAAATTATACACCCAAAGGTGTTTCCAGTGCGTTCAGTCACAACGTTCAATCAGATTTAAAATAAAAATAAAGTAATGGAGACATCCAGTTTCAAGTCGGTGAGTCTTGTTTTGAGTTTTCAATGCTTTGCACATATCCATTAAACCATCTGATATGCCTAACTAAACATACTAAGTGCAGTGCTCCAAACAGGCCCTCAGAACGAGCTGACTGACGGTGTCGTGAACTGCTCAGTTTCACGTAAACGATTGACGTATTGCGTAAGTAGAGGAGTACTACAATGCATGCTGCCACGTTTGGGGGCCCCAGAAATCGCCTGCCACGGACTGTAGCTTTGGCACCAAGTCGGCACCCCCGTCTTGCAAGAGAGAAGCTTTTCAGTGTATTGTTGTGGAGCTGATGCGCCTCTGCAACTATCAGGCATTTGAGTAATTGGGGGAGAGAATGTGGCTCTTACTTTCATCTCAATTGTCAGCCACATTTAGAGAGACGAAATTAATGCTTTACCTCGCATCAGACCCTAATTACCAGCCAAAGTACTCAACCACCCTTGTTCCTTATGCATAACTGATGAGGTGGAAGTGATTAGACCTTCTGCCCTTTCTCATTTGGAGGAAGTATAGTTGCTTTAAAAATACTGGTTTTGTAATTTTTTTGGCAAAATATTAAAAGCATTTTATAGTGGTGTTTGATGTGACTAAATGCCTCCAGGATCCTTATGATAAAGCCAAGTTGTGGCAAAATATTCAACATCAGAGAATGTTGGTTTTTAGGATGATCATAACTATTGCTACTGATTGAGAGACATTAAACTCTGGTTTACTTTAGTTTCAGATCTTGCCCGCACACGTCGTCGAAATGGCAGGTCGATGACACTTTCGGGTCATTTCGAGGTTGGTCACGCGGCATAGCAAGAACTTCACATTTTTGAAATGGTTTTAATTTAGACATCGAGATTTACTTTGCCGCGGGATGCCTGTACTGGAAATGTCGTCGGAAGCAACTTACATTTCTTGAGCATTGCTTGTTGAGAGTACGTTTTAGAAATGCCAGTCTTCGAGTCCTTGGACAGTAGACATCTGCTCTGCTGGCAGAGCTGGAGGTTCTGTATGCCAAGGTGTAACGGTTACGAAAGGTCTGTAGGATTACAAAGTATCTATCTGGGATTGGAGTCCTGAAATTCAAAAGGCACCACCACATAAGGACAGTGTATTCACCCAGCTACTTTACTTAATACCCAAACCAGGCATTTCGACACAACGTTGATTCTTGAGGTAACCAAGTCGGCTCTGAAAACATCGAGAAAGCACTGACACAGGCAGTCAGCACCTCTGACAATTCGGTGAACGCTGCACCGCATTTTTTACGGGTTAACCCAAGGTAGACAGCAACAAGTTGTTAGAAGATTTAAAGATTTTCCTTAAAAGTTGGTCACTAAATGCAAAAAAGTAGTCGTAAATTCGTTTCCATTGTGTGCAAATTCTATAAAATGAGTCTGCAAAGCACTTCCTTACATCCCCGTTTTTGCAGTCAAGGTAGAACTTTGATGGAAAAATGTGCAAGGCCATAAACATCAGATAACCAAATGAATAGTTTTATTTTGAGTACTCTCAAAGCGATCTCAGTACGTTTGATCCAAGGAGTGGGGTGTTGAGGATTTATTTGATCTACAAAGATGCTGAATCATTAAAGGCGTATCTAAAAGTGCACTTCGAATAACATATGGGTAATTTTGAGGTCTTATCAAAGTTCCCCTTGGATTTTCGGAGTGATCGCAGCTTAAGAAATGATAGGTGCTATCATCACACAAAAAAGTGTCTGAAAACACTCCCCAGTGAGTCTCAGTTTCGGACGGCTTGCCTATAGGGGGGGAGTGGGAATCAAATGCCTCTATTTACCTGCAAAAGTAATTTGTTATATGCTCAAAGTTGCTTCTCGTTTGATCGGAAAGACCGAGGCCATCGGAGGAGGCCAGAATGTGGGCGTTGTCACCGGTATGGTGCACTTCGTCGAATACTCTTAACAGATCCACACTTGTTATATTCATCAGAACGAATACTCCCGATTTTCGCAGCTAAAATTTTTTGCAATACGGATTTAAGGCGCTGAACTTTTTACTGAGAAAATCTCCTCATCTTGCACAATTGAAGACGTCGCCTTGGCGACGTAGTACGAAGGCATTGCTGTTTTAAGGAGTAGTTGAGTTAATTTAAAACAACAAAATCCTGACTGAAACATAGTGGTTGTGAACAGGTAGCGAACATTTGCAAAAGGACTGCAAATAGCGTGGCAGGTGCTTCCTTAGATTAACTGATGGATCCAAACTCCGAAGGGACAGGGAGGAGGGAGGTCCGTGCACTCCCTTTGGGGAGGCGAGGTTGCATCAATTCCCAAGCATGTCGCAATCAATCACGCTTAGCACACAAACAAGGAAAGGAACTTCTGGGGCAGTTAATAAGTTTTGCACTTTTATCTGTAAATCTAGCTGCGGAGTTGCATAAATCCACAAAAGACCCCGTGCTGATGCCCTAAGGCAATGCATTCATTACCGTAAAATAATGGAAAAAAATTAACAAACTACGCTTTTATTCTTTTGCTTGGCCATCATTTTAAAAGTACTTAAATGTAAAACCAGATTTTATGCCGAAAAGCTTAACGATGAATGGAGGCGAATTCTCTTTTCAAAGTACTATAAGTGACTGGTTTTAGTCATTCAACTTTGGTAAGTTCAACAGATAAAGGCCCCTTAAAAGTGGTTCCACCTACCACAAAAAACTGTCTATGGTCTCCATGTTTGACTTCTGCAGTAATCACCTCGGCTTGCGCCTGCAGCAGATCATCCGATTTGATCCTAATTCGTTTTGTATGTCCTAAAAAAAGACATTTTTGTGTTTCACAATGTTTTTGTTCGGGTTTAACATGCTGAACTACTTTTCATTAAACCGCTTCCAGTCAAAAAATTTAAATGAATTGGAAGTGTTTGTCTGTACACAACTAAGTTAAACACGCACTGTTCTTTCCGCTTCAGAAATTGGCAATGCAAACTTATTCTCCCCACAGATTTACCAAGATTAGTGGCAGCATGAAATTTTTACGCTGAGGTTTACCTTCCTCTTATCAGCGATTCAAAAGGTTCCCCAAGGCAGCGGACAACCCATCACCAAAACGATCAAATTTTCAACTTGAGTGTCCAGTAGTATCTTTTTAAAGTAAATGGGTTATTTACACCATAATTTTTACCACTTCTTGCTAGATTTTAGCATCCATTAATATTGAAATAATCAAAAGAACTGCATTTACTGGGCGTAGCCTTTAATGAATGCACAATTTCTCAAACTCCCCAACTTGTGTTCAGTGTTGACACTTGCATTACCTACTAAAGTGTCACAATTAGCGCATGCAATGCGTAACAAATGGGTTTGGGTAAAAGCTGTTCGTAGCGTCCAACAATTGTGAAAAATGTTGGATACTTTGCAAGATAATTGCTCCCCAAGATTTGTCGCTTGTGTTTCCATCTATCCATGTCTCGTTTGTTTGGATTTTCTGCCAAAAAGGTCACACAACTGAAATGAAGGTTGATTTCCAAACATTTTGCCTTAATACTGGGGCATTCCTATGTCAGGCCCTTTTCTCATCCACCGACTTGAGGCAGATGTGTTTTAAGTAGATGTTTGTGGATTGAATACGGATTCTCGCGTAAGTTTTTACTGAGACTGTGGCTCCTCGGGTCTTCTGCTGATTTCGAGTCCTAATTTGCCGCATTCGCACCCTTTTATCAAATTAATAAGGGAAGACGCAA